GCAACGAAACGAGCAATCGAACGGGGCTGGTTGAGGGTGAACCGTTGTGGGGATCGGTCCGTTCGGCTGATTATGGGGAAGAAATTAACACCCTGATAGGTGTTCTTGGTATTTCGGAAAGATCAGCGTTGAGGGTGGCTTCTGTCGCGTCGAGGGTACAGTTGACTCTTTGCGGTGAGGTTTTGCATGAATTTGCAGTTTATGGATAGACTCTCGAAACATTGGAATTTCAGGGAATTGACGATTAGCTTGTAGCGAAAGTTGGCTAGCTTTTTGTTTCTTTACTATGTATTTTACCAGGCTGAAAACAGCGAGTTTGAATAATTAATAGCCTAACAGTGAGAATGAAGAATGAAAGTGATATGAGAGTAGCAATGCCGAAGTTTCTGAATGTACGTAGTGAAATCAAAATGAAAGTAATTCTGTTACGCTCTTATCAGATTACAGTCGTTGGGTAATGATGAACCAATGATGAAAGATTTGATACGTGTGGTGGTATGTTTATTCGGGAAATCGGTTGCGACACGTTTTGCGCAGCAGTTTGATGTCGTGAATGCACATTTCGCATTTTAGAGACTTTTTCATTATCCGTACAACTGACAACATCAAGCAGAATCTATGGGCTTATCTGTTTACTGTTGAATACTTCGATAGCTGCGAAAAATATATACACTAGAAATAATGAAGAATGCTTAATACGCTGAAGTCATTTTCACACTGTAAATGGAAAAGAAAGTCGCGGTGTAGTTATTGTAACAATTCTTCGTTCGACTACCGTTTCTATTTTCGTTCGGATGAAAGCGCAGGAACCTCAGAAATAGTAGAGAACGAAAGGGAGAGGCCGCGAAGAGCTCATAGCCATCGTCACCGCTCTAAGCAGCGTGAATGAACCGTCCCGGGGACTAGGGCACAACATTCGCGGGTATCAAAGCGAGCGAGTAGGTGTGCAGACACGCCGAACGTAATAGTAACCTTGGCTTAGCGATGGTCACGTTATGGTAACGTCTATGACACGTTCCCACATAGTCGCGTGTCACGTTCTCGCTTACGATCGGCTCACGTGACCGCCGGCGAAAGGGGAGGGTTCGATAAATCAGCCTTGTCGGCAGACTTTTCTTTACCTTGATATCATCTCTTTTTTTAAATCGGCTCTTCGTCACCATTGTCGACGTTTCGTATATCCCCGCTATACCTGAAAATCGTTCGAATATCGTATTTAAAATTGCTCGATTATTACGGTATAAAACATTTTATTATGTACTATCTTCACTCTGTATTAATATTTCATACTTTAAATTTCTGAGCTAAGTTTTTTAAAAAATATTTCTAAATTGTTCGTCAGAATTTTGTTAGTTTTTCCTTCATTTAATAACTGGAATAGTTATCCCGAGTTAAAAGCTTGATTAGTATTATCTTTGTATTGTATAGCATTACGAGATAATTTATTTCTTCGAAGTATATTTTTGACAGATTTACTTCATTCATCAGTCGATACGTTTTACATTTATGTAGAATTGATTTTGCATTTAATTTATTTTATATAACATTAAATTTCGTAGTAAAAGAAAAATAAATTGTGTCACAGAAGTTTCTGTTACGGTTCGAACGAGTCGCGCGCAGAGAAGTATTTGTGTAACGTATCGTGTTCGCGCGACGAATAAGGAACGTGTGTGATAGAGCGATCGCATGACGCAATAAATTTCGTAACAGATACTAATAATACGACGACAATTAACGGCGAGTCTTCTTATCTGTTCCAGATCGTACAAATCAACCGCCTTCTAACAAGCCACATTAACCTCAAGTGATTTCTATTTTCTTACGAATCGCGAAAGAAGTAATTAGTGTGTTTATATCGACGATAACGAAAAAAAGAAAGACAAGGAAGAAGAAGAAGAAGAAGAAGAAAAAGAAAAAAGAAGAATTTTCCAAGAGCTTAGGCGAGAAGAAGACAAAGGTTTAAGAGCTATAGTAATCTAACTAGTGTACAAAGTATATCTGAAAAAAATAAACTAGACGAGACTAGGGGAATAAAAGGAAAAAGGAGGAAAAACGAGAAAAAGGAAAACTAAACAAAAAGTCCGCCAGTGCCAAATCGAGAGGTGAAACGAAGTAAACGAGAACGATTGTACATTAAAGAAGAAATAACCGCGAGGAAGATAAAAGGGTGAAACGAGGAAGAGGAAGAAGGGGAAAGCAGGAAAAGATAAACGAACATCGCGCGAAACGACAAACCGTAAACCAAAGAATCTACCATTTCATTTTTTCTACTAATCAACTCAGCAAGTAACGATACTCAACTAACTCAGCGAGGACGGAGCGAGATTAAATTAAGCGAACATCGCGAGGACAAACGGAAAGAGAAAGCAAATAACAGAAAGAGAAAGGAGAAGGCAAGAAACATATAGCCAATCGACAAAGTGTTTTCTAAGCGAATAACGACGGAAGTCCAACTTACACATTTAAGCATTATAAATGTAAGAATTTCGAACAAATTCACACCATTCTTTTTTTCTTTCGAGAGGCCGCACCGACCAAGAGCAGTCCCATCCAAAGCGAGATAGCATCAGCCTGCGTATTCAGAGGAAAAACAAAAGGAGACTCGCGCGTAATTACTCCCAGAGAAACCGATCTACTTCAGTTCGTAGCCTAAACCTGTTGAGTACAAACGACAGAAATAGAATTATAGAGAAAAAAAATTGCGAGAGAGAGAAACAGAAAGAGAGAGAGAGAGCGAGATTGAGCGAAAGCGAGCGAGCGAGCGAGAGAAAATTTACAACAAAAACTACAGGAACACAGTGAGAACGAGCGAAAGAGACAGAACGCGAGTGTACGAGAGAAAAAAGAAGAAAGAAAGAGCAACTAATAAACAGGAAGAGACTAAAAGGCAGCACACAATCTATATAAATTTAAAGAAGAATAAAAGACTCAGGAGAAACGCGGAAAGCAAACGAGACCTAAACCTAACCCAGTGACTTCCGGAAAATCCAGAAGACGAACGCCGTCATTTCGTCAAATGTTACGGGTTTCAACTACGAGCAGTCGAATGCCCGTGAATCATCGTGATTAATAAATATTCCTGATCGCGCTGTCGTTCAATACCAAGCTCTCGACGCTGAGTCGAAGAGCTTAGAAGCAGCTGATCTAGATACATCGAGGTTACTCCGTATCGAGTTTCCAGGATCGTATAGTGAACGGTGAACCTCGACCTCCCACGATCAGGGGGAGGCAAAGAGTCGCGATGACGTGGCGGGGAAGATGAGCGCGGAGGTAACGAAGGAGGTCGTCGCCACCGAGAGGGTAGCAGGCAGCCCTCCGGCGGCGGTAGCGACCTCGCCAGGCACGGTCGGACCGGGTGATCCGGCTCGTCACCTACCGCCGTTCAGCAGCTTCGCCGGGGACAACGCGATGGATAGCTCAACGACATTGACTACCCTTCATCCGCAGGACGTCGGTCTCGGGCTTACGTCCTCATGGGACTACTACGAGGGACTGACCGGCCGGTTGATCGACTCGCGGGGCGAGGTGGTGCTCGCCAGCCAGTATAGGCCGTGGGAGTCGAAGAACGCGGCAGGCGGCGGAGGCGGTGGCGTCGTCGCGCCCGGCGGCGAAGGTTTGCCGAGCTTCGCGAGTCAATTCACCGCTCCCAGCGAAGCGGAGCCCCAATTAACGGCGCTCACGCCATTGTCGCCCGCCTCGATATCGCACTCACCACCTGTCACGTCCGCGGTGGGCCTACCAAGTTTCCATACGCTTGGCACACCGCTGCCCGCGCCTCATCCTCATCGAGGCAGCGTCGGCTATCCGTTGGTACCCGCACCGGTACAGGCGAGAGAGGTGCCGGCCCTTCAGCAACAGCTACTCGATGAAAGGCACATACAATTACTGGGATCGAGCCCGGTGCAGGCATTCCCGCCGCCACCGCCGGGACATCCTCATCACACTGTGCTCACGGTGGTCAAGCCCGAGTATCCGCAGCTCCATCACGCGAACTTCCAGAACCCGATGTCCACGGTGCTGGACTCTTCGCCCACATCTAGGCCGATCGGGATCGACGGTAGGAAAAAGGAGCGCAGAAAAATACGGGCCGGCTCGATGGAGTCTGAGGACAGCGCCGGAGCCGGGAACGTCGAGAGTTCCGGCCAAGTGGCCGCGGTCTCGTCCACCGCGAACAGGGGACCGCATCATCTCGGGGGCGGTATGGTCGACGCCGACGGGGACGGCGGACTCAACGACAAGCCGGCCAAGAAAAAGCGGAAACGGTGCGGAGAGTGCATCGGTTGCCAGCGAAAGGACAACTGCGGCGACTGCGCGCCCTGCAGGAACGACAAGAGCCACCAGATCTGCAAGATGAGGCGGTGCGAGAAACTCACCGAGAAAAAGGTAAGTGAAAATGTTTTCATTGATAGATGGGTTATCTTTGTGGCTGACTGTCTTGGCGACCGAATGGCGGATTTTAGGTCTATTTTTAAAGTAAATCTGAATTTTGCTGTTTCATGTTTTGGTATTGGCAAGGCTTTTTATTCAAGTATCACGTTGTTGCATCTGCAGATTCATTACTTATTGTTAATGTTTTGCTTGTAGCGAAAGAGACTCGAAAATCTGTCGAAATGAATTCGAAGCTTGTGAGTGAGGGAGAATAGGGTAACTTGATGGTAATTTTGTCTTTGTATGTTCGAGGTGTAATATTGATCCAACGAAGATCGTGATGAGTAATGAATGTTCCTTTTTATTCGGTTTTCATGGTGAATTCTTGAGGGTAAATTCGCTGCACGGTAGGGTGGTTTTTTTCCGAATGATAGATGATTGTTGGGGTACGTTTTAATTAATTCATTTTAACTTAAATGGGATGAGGATCTGGTGGGGTATTTATTTGGTCTGGAATCGATTCGTTTAATATAAATTTTATTTGATAGAAAAATAGTACTGTTTTCAATAAATCAGAAGATCATAAGCGATATTGAAAAATTGAAAGCTAGGAGGATTAACAAGCGTCATGTACAGTATTGAAAAAGGAGAAAATAGTACTATTTCCTGTTGCGCCGCGGTTTCCCGTCCTACGAAACATCGTAACCGGAACAATTTGTAAAAACGTGTCGATTTGGGGCGAAAGGGTGGGGTGGGGGACGCACGCGTGGTCGTAAAACGAGGACGAAAATGAATTCGCCACGCGACAAGGTGGCTTTGGTCGAAATTGGTGAAAATCCAGGTGCATCAATGTGGCCGGCAGTAGAGAAAGGGTGTGAATTGTAACACCACCGGTAGGGTAGGATAAACATCAACGTATCCGCCGTTATAGAATGCTGTGTATGAAAACATATATATATATATATATATATATATATATATATAT